ATTTTTCCCCCCCCCCACCCCCCCCCCCCCTCCCCTTCTCCCCTTCTCTCCCTCCTTTTTTTAACGCTTGTGATGTCTGCATTGGCCTGCTTTGGTGTGACCAATCATCCACTCCGAAATTTACGCGCAAAATCAAAACACCCGCCCACACAAAAACCCTGCATCACGATTGGCTGCTGGCGACGACCTACCTTGCCCTCTGCCTCCTCCTGTGTGTCCGCCCCCTGGCCTGTCCTGCCCTGCCCTGATTGGCGGCTGCTTCTTCGTGCCCTCTCTGTGATTGGCTGTGCTGATGGCGAACGGTGTAGTTCACCAAAATATGGGCTTCTTGCTGACAGGTACCACTTCTGTGAGAAGTGTTTCAACGAAATCCAGGGCGAGAGTGTTTCCCTGGGGGATGACCCCTCCCAGCCTCAGACGTGAGTACCACCCCACTCCCGCCTTCCTTTCACACACAACAGATAACGGCTCTCGCATCAAGTAGCGTCTATCCGGATGAGCAGTCCTGCAACATCACCAAGACAACACAAGCATCAGAACCCTTTAACATCCAGTATTTCCCCTTGTATTTCCTGTAGGATGTCCACAGTGTCTGACAGAATCACACATGTATATTCAGCTTGTTTCTCATTGAAGCTGTACGGTATTTACTCTCTTTACCCCAAACAGAGTTCTGTGGGACTGAGTGACGTTTGTAGTTACTGACCCAGCAGCAGCTCAGTGTCAGAGACAGAAAGATCATGAATATCATGTTTTTTCTAGCTGGTTGAAATGTGTAAGATGAACCGAAGTGTTGAGTAAAGTTGTGCAAAGACATTAAAAAATAACAATAATAAGAAAAATTCAATCATAGCAGCAGATGCTTGATTTTCCTGATGTTTAGTCTCAAGTATGGGTGAACACTGAATACTACATTTCCCATAATGCAACTGGGTTGAAACTTTCATTGGCCCCTCCCTGCGCCTTCTTTCAAGCACATTCAGTTTTTATCAGAAGCTCTGTAAAAAGCTTCAAGTCTTGAACCCGGGTCGAGATAACCCTCGATGACATCACTGTGACATCATCCAGGTTGTTTTCTCAAACACCTGAAGACGTTGTTGAGTTGTCGTAGTGGTGATAGTAGCACTGCTCATGATGAATAAACAAAACTTCATGTGTGTCCTTTTTAAAACATGAATCTCTCTGTTTTTTTATTTGCTGATTTCATCCTTTATTATATAAATCTTATTTATTTACATTATTACATCATATAGTTTAATTCTTTCACTAACTAACAATCATGTTTTATTTAAGCCCTGTTTATATCTCTCATCTTAAAGGTCGTGTGTACAAATAATCAGTGTAACAATAAATTGTGATAAGAATATGTAGCTGGTGTTTTGAATCTCTTTAAGCATTTCCTGAATTTTTGGAAACAGGATTCTGCAGTTTACAGGTGATAACGTTGATGACCTTGTTGTGTCAGTTACAGAAGTTTGTTTTCTGGTATTTCCCACAGGTCCATCAACAAAGACCAGTTCCAGCGAAAGAAGAACGACACACTTGATCCTGAGTTGTACGTCCCCTTCTTATCTCGTTAACCTTTATACCGCTGCAGGATGATGTGGATATTATGTATTTAGTCTAGATTGTTGTGATTTTATATTTAGATGTTTTTTGTTTTGTTTTTATTCAAGCTGTTGGATCAGGTTAATGTGATTAAGTGATTATTATTTGTGAAATATAGCAAGCAGATAAAATATATTTTAGTCATTGTTATTTAACAGCAGCGCAGCTCCTGTAGAAGAGCCAGTATTTCCATCATGTGTGAAATGTCGCCTTATTAACTTTGAATGTTGTCGTCTTCCTTTTGTCTCCTCTCTGCTCAGGCTTGTGGAATGTACCGACTGTGGCCGTAAAATGCACCAGATCTGTGTCCTGCATCATGACACCATATGGCCGTCAGGGTGAGCCAGCTGCCGCACACACACACACTCTGTACATTGTTGATCTGTGACTGGGTCTGGAAAATGAATTTGGCCTTTTGTGTTCTTTGATAAGCTCCAGAATCGGTACAGATGCTGTAGAAAGTACATTTCTCAGTCCCTCCAGAAAGTCACGATGTCACGATCTCGACTCATTTTTGTCCAATCGCCGCAACTTTTCCCGCCAATTTGACCAATCATCAAAGTTTTCCCGCTTTTCCCGCTAGTTGAACCAATCACACCAGTCCCTGCACCAAACTCACTTCCTTGTTTCTGGGGTTGAAGCTTGTTTGTGAAGCTGCAGACGTGTGTGACACGAACGTCCCACATTTACCCACAAACTGTCACTGTTAAAGACCGTGTGAAGACATTCCCAGATGTTTTACACGAAAGCAGAGTTAAATAGTTTTGTAGCGCTGCGACATTGTGCTGGATCCTCAGGTGTAGAGCCGCCGGAACGACGCTCCGCTGCTTTGATCCTCCAGGTGAAATAAAATATCTACAGTTCAAATAATCCGGTTGATATTTATCTACATTTTTAAGCTGTTGAAGATCCGAGAGCTGATTAAAAACATATCATATTGACATTTAAGGTGTATTGATTGATTTCCAAACATCAATCACACATCAAGTAACACTCAAGAAAACATTCCACCTTAAAAGATGCCGGTAGCTGCCGGTCGCCTCTGAGCTGCTGAGTGAATTAAATCGTTAATCAGTAAAGATGAAAAGAGAGAAAATATCATTTCAGTCATCATTCACTCCTGATGAAACTGGAAACTGCTCTGTATTTATTCTCACTGGTGCAAGTTGCCTTCAATTTTTAATGAATAATTATAATTTATTATTTTTAATGAAGATAGCGACAATTTTTTTTGCAATTTTTATTTTTTCCCTCAGTTTCATTGCATAAAAAAACATCGCAACATGCATCGCAATTTTTAAGAAAAGCTGCCGAAAAATCGGGTGTTTCAGCTGCAAGAATCCCCCCAAAAAAAAATCCCCTGTGAAATCCTGGAGGGACTGAGTCGTTAAGCCTTCACACACATTTTCATTTAGCTGCAGAGAATGCTGTCTTCAGCAAATTGTTAAAGCTCATACAGCGTACCGACATTTTGAGGAGCAGTTTGGAAACTGAAAATATGTAGGTGTTTCACATCAAGACTAAAGGGCGGCTGCAACAGATGCACAAATGCAGCTCGAGTGAGAAACGAGTCTTAAAGTTTGATTTCCCTTCATGTGTGATCTGTTTGTAATTAAGAGATGGAAGCAACTTCCAAGTCATTATAGTTGTTTAAAGAAAGAGAGACTGACATCAAAGGCCAAATCACCTCTTGATTAAAGCCACTTCATCACTGTCATCGATGCAGATGGTAACCTGCAAGTTTAACCATTTACTCTTTATTTCCTCCCTAACCACCACCAGCTTTGTGTGCGACAACTGCCTCAAAAAGGCAAATAAGACGCGGAAAGAGAACAAATACGCGGCCAAAAGTAAGTGGAGTGTGTCTTTGTTTTGCGTCCCTGCTCTCCTCACTTTTCTTCTGAGGTGTTGATACTTTTCTAATTTTGATTTGATTTTTATAATGTAGTCAGTAATTGTTCCTTTTGAGATTTCTGCAACGGCTGCTCCGCGGTTCATATCTTCTTGTCCTCCTTGTCTGTTTTCTTCTCTCCGTGATCGACATATTCACCTCTCTGAAAAACTCTGTCAAAAACAACCTGCAGACAGAGCCAGTGGCTTTCAGTATAAATGTTTTTAATGTGGAGTTTGAAAGAGGAAGTAGGGAGAGAGAGAAAAGAGGAACAAAAATGAAGGCAAATTGCAAACTATAAATTAAACATGGACATGACAGAAGGAGGAAGGGTATAACTTTTCGCTGTTACATCACCACCGCCACTGAGTGCTCTAAAAAACACACAAAGGTGTGTCTGATGAATGAGAAGAGTTGCCGTACAAAAGGTACCACCGCCAGTGTGACGGTCGGCGGTCTGTGTGTGACGGCATGTCTCCAGAAACTGAGAATCCTGCCGGGTAGTTTACGCCGAGGAAAACCCGAGGGCACACAGTTCTGTTATTACGTGAAACTGTGTCTGCTAATTAAAATCGGATTCAAAGGATGTTGTGGTTAGAAGATATTCAAACATACTGACGTTTCATACGAGGTGAGGCAGCGTTTATCAGTCATCTAGACACATCAGAGCTCGTTTGGTTTAATACGTAGATCCTCATTTTCTTTTAAGAAAAACACATTTAATTTCCTGCTTTATGCATTATTTGTTTTCTGTGCAACTAACAACTTCAAAACATGAACCAAACTATGATTTCACAGAATAATTTTACCGCTGATTGAATTTTCTTTTTGCTCAGATATTTTCCCATCAATCCACTCTCTAATAAACTAAAGAACTTACAGGAAACACAATCCTTCATCTTGATAATAAAAAAAATTAAAAAAATAGGAGTTTATTTGATTATTTTATTATCATTAATAATCCACCTCTTTCTTTGTTTCGCAGGGCTTCCCCAGACCAAGCTGGGGAGCTATTTGGAGTCACGAGTGAACGACTACCTCAAGCGGCAGATCAACATTGAATCTGGCGAGGTCACCATCCGAGTGGTCCACGTCTCGGACAAGGTGGTTGAGGTCAAGCCGGGCATGAAGTCCAGGTAGGAGGTTGAAGTTTTGAGTTTTAACGAGTTGGTGAGACAAACCGCACAAATGTTTAGGTCCTGCAGCAGGTCAGACGCCTGGCCCAGGTTAGATGATCCGGAGCTGGACACACGTTTTACACAACAGCATCTGCATCAGGGTGAAGTACGTTTGTAACGACCAGCGGGGCTCGTATCATCAGTAGCTGTGATCAGACAAAGTTTCCTGAGGGGAAACCTTGCTCAAGCAGCAGTTCCTCCACATCACTGCAAAGACAAATGCACATTGTTGTAGCTAGGCAACAGCCTGACTGGCCACGGTGCACAGAGGAGAAGGTAACCCAACAAGAGGGAGTTTGTTTACTGAACATGTGGTGGAACATAAATGCACATTAACAAGTTGGATTTCAGAGGCAACAATAGATTTCCAGACCTCCCACAGCTGCAGCTGCACAACAGCGTTTGAGGGTTGGAGTTGTCGAGTTAATTTAAACATTAAAAAAAAAACACAGTATTGATGCCAAGTCATAATCCGTTTTGGGTCTGTTCTGTGCTGCGGTTGTCATATTCTCTCATTTTGAACCGGCTAATTATGAGTCGGAACGCTGCAACGTGACGATGTTCTCCTGCTGTGTTACCATGGTTACTGTCACTCAACGACGACAACATCTGAAATGTTCCTGTGTAAAACTCGTAGAACCTCTCAGTCACCGCTCGCTGACGGGACGGAGGGACACGTTTTAATGGATGTATTATTGGATTGAAGCTAACTTAGCTACTTGTACATGGACTGTTACTATGGTTACTATCGCTCAGTGCGTGAAAACGTGAAATGTTCCGGTGCGAAACTCATAACCTCTCAGCTGTGATCTCAGTTTTATCCAGGGGGTCGGGTCGTAATAGTGAACACTGAGTTTAGTAGCAGGTGGTGAAATGATTCATCAATAATGTCACATTTTTACTCAGAAATTCCAATAAGCGAATTAAAGTCCTCGAAGTCTGTGTGATCAGTATGTGACGGTGTCTCCACATGGGTTCTGCTTGGACAGTCCGAGTTGATTTTTTTTATTCCCACTCTGTCCCTGAATACTAAGAAATATTAAGAAATCCAGAGACTCTTACTGGTTACCAGGAGCAGAAACCACAGCGAGCAGCATATCGAATGATCTAATCCAACTATAAAGCAAGAATCTCTTCCTGTCTGTCTGTGTGAAGAGAAACCACATTTTGATTTTGGGACGGTTTGCATTCACCTCGGGACGGTTAAAATACTTTTTCGGGGCAGTGGTGAAAAAAGTGAGTCTGGAGCCCTGATTTAAAAACATGTTGTATTTCATCTGTTTTTCTCACCTGGCTGTTGTTGTTGTTTTGTTTTTTGTTCATCCAGGTTTGTGGACAGCGGAGAGATGTCCGAGTCCTTCCCGTACAGGATGAAAGCCTTGTTTGCGTTCGAGGACATCGACGGAGCGGACGTGTGTTTTTTCGGCATGCACGTCCAAGAGTACGGCTCGGACTGCCCGCCCCCCAATCAGAGACGAGTGTACATCTCTTACCTGGACAGCGTGCACTTCTTCAAACCTCGACACCTCAGGACCGCCGTCTACCATGAGATCCTGATAGGCTACCTGGAGTACGTCAGGAGGCAGGGGTAAGAGAAAAGTTTAGACCCTCTTAAACATGATACTCCAAAACTGAGCAGCTGAAAACTATTTCTCCAAATGAAAACTTAGAGCATCAGCTTCAACATTAAGATTGAGCCCGTTATGCAGCGTAAAGTCATTCCTGTATTCATTAGGCTTTGTGTTCCAGACGCTGCTACAGAGGAAAATGAGTAAGCAGATGGACTAAAAGGAAATCAGTTTACACTAGTTTAGTGGCCTCAGTGAATACAACCTCATGTCTCCCTGTTTCAGGTTTACGACGGGTCACATCTGGGCCTGTCCGCCCAGTGAAGGGGACGATTACATCTTCCACTGTCACCCAATGGACCAGAAGATCCCGAAGCCGAAACGCCTGCAGGAGTGGTACAAGAAGATGCTGGACAAGGCTGTTGCTGAGCGCATTGTCCACGATTACAAGGTGAGACGTTCTTCACATTCAGTGCACTGCACTTTAACGGTGTGATTTCACTGCAGAAAGCCAATTCCCAGGATGTTCAGTGATTTGACTCTTTTGAATTTTGTAAATACTGTTGAGAAAACAATCTCGCCACAAAGTGCATTTACCAGCTGTTCTGGGGGCAAATTTAATGACAACTGGGCATACTCCATCTGCCAAAGAATATCATGAGATATGATTGAAAGCCCCAGAACAGCCACTAAATGGACCCTGTTGTGAGATTGTGTCCTCGAGCGTTTTTTATTCCTCCGTGCCGACGACAGTCAGAGCCATGTTGTCCGTCCCATTCTCGTGGACACGATATCTCAGCAACACCTCGACAGAACTTCTTCAAATTTAGCACAAATATTCACTAGGACTCAAGGATGAACTGATCGATTTTGGGGGTCAAAGGTCAGAAGTCAAGGGCGTGGTGACCTCACGAAACATAGTTTGTGGCCTTGTGAACGCAATATCTCCACAACACCTTGAGGGAATTAACTTAAATGTGGTGAAAACATTCACCTGGACTCAAGGACGAACTGATTAGATTCATGTGGTTAAAGGTCAAAGGTCGAGGTCACGATGACCTCACAAAACATGATTTTGGCTTTGCAATATATCGAGAACTCCTCAAAGGGAGTTCTAGTTTCATGATGTTTTGTTGTTTCCGTTGACGGTCCTGAAGCTCATTACGACATTAACCGCATCACAAGAATTTAACGGTCGTCTCTTTGTCCGTCTTCGTCCCGCAGGACATCTTCAAGCAGGCAACAGAGGACCGGCTGACCAGCGCCAAGGAGCTGCCGTACTTTGAGGGCGACTTCTGGCCAAACGTGCTGGAGGAGAGCATCAAGGAGCTGGAGCAGGAGGAGGAGGAGAGGAAGAGGGAGGAGAACAGCACATCCAACGAGAGCACCGATGTGAGTAGAGTAAGAGTCCGCACGCATTCAGGCTCATTAATGTCATAAAATATATATATATATAATTATAAATGGTGTGTACTGAAATTTACCTTTTTAAACATTCACAGGCCACAAAAGGAGACAGCAAGAATGCCAAAAAGAAGAACAACAAAAAGACAAGCAAGAACAAGAGTAGCTTGAGCCGAGCCAATAAGAAAAAACCAGGGATGCCCAACGTTTCCAATGACCTCTCCCAGAAACTCTACGCCACCATGGAGAAACATAAGGAGGTATGTGTGATTGTAGCCGAAGATATTTATTATTTTATTGGATTATAAAACAATGAGAACATTAAAGTGACTCGTGTCATCAGAGTTGTCACGTCGACTCTGCGTTCGGTACCTTTACCTTCACCAAGAGACACCAGACAAATAGTGGATTAAAGCAGCTGTGATCTATACGTCTGTCTTAACAGTGGATCACATGATCACCTGTATGTGAAGGGTGTTGCTTATAGTGATGAACCCACACAAAGTTCCCCTGAGCTCTGCGTAGCATTTCAGCTCATCGAACAAGTAAACATGGATGTAAACAATGCACCATTTTAAAATATAATTAATTTGCTTTACAAATATTTTAAGAGAAAGGAAATGCTTTTGATATGTTTTGTTAGACTGAAAGGAAACACACGAAACCCTTTTTACATTGATGGATAACATTACCTGTTAAAAAATTAACACTATTCAGCAATTGTATATTAATAAATTGTGAACAGAGGATAAAAGAATCTGCAGGAATGACAAAATTGACAAAAGGACAGGATGCGTTTAGCTCCGTATCAGAAACCATCTCCGTGCAGACACACACACATACCTGAGCAGTCACGCACACTGGGCATGAGCGAGCCGGTGTAAACAGGAAGCAGATTGTCTACTCTGCAGTTGATTAGTTGCAAAAAATACTACGATCGAGGAACAACAAAGACAGCTGCAGCGTTAAAATACAGAATTTAACCGAACAACAGCTGCTAGCAAAGACAACAGGGTCGGTAACGCCTGTGATTCGTTATCTGTGTCGTGTGGACGGGAGGAGGAAACGTAGCAAAGAGATAAGTAGTGCGCACAAAGCATCACAGCTGACCCTCTCCCCTCCTATTCCCAGGTCTTCTTCGTCATCCGCCTCATTGCCGGCCCCACCGCAAACTCCCTGCCCCCCATCACTGACGTGGACCCCCTGATGGCCTGCGACCTGATGGACGGCCGCGACGCCTTCCTGACTCTGGCCAGGGACAAGCACCTGGAGTTCAGCTCCCTCAGGAGGTCCAAGTGGAGCTCCATGTGTATGTTGGTGGAGCTGCACAACCAGAGCCAGGACCGCTTCGTCTACACCTGCAACGAGTGTAAACACCACGTGGAGACCCGCTTCCACTGCACCGTCTGCGAGGTGAGAATCGAGAATCTCACTTTTGATACGAGACCCTGTGAATATTTTAAATACTGTGATGTGTTTTTCATGTTGAGAAATCTTGAAATGAAACACTGAGAGGAAAACGTTCTCCAGTGGGGCAGTAATGTTAGTCAGCTGACGTTTCTCCTAAAATCACTTATTTTGAAAGTCAATCATTTTTGGAATATACAGAAACATCGTATTTCAGAGAACAAATATTCAGGTTTTCTCTTTTCATGAAGTGGCTGCTGAATAAATAAGGAAAGAGATTTTTTTTTTTTTTTAAACAGAAACCTGGTGAATAAACAGATGTGCTTTTTTGTTTTCCTCCCTCCCCTCCAACTGGGAACAGTGAAATTCCCTTGTATTTCAGTCAGTGTTGTTGTAACTCCACTGCAATGTGGATCTGTTGACTTGACTGTTCTGTATCCAGTGGCGTCTGCAAGTCCAGACAATACTTCTGTTGGCTGGAGTGTTTATTCTCAGCATTTACAGATTACAGTGAGAAAACTTCATGTTGAAAGATTGACACTCGAGACTCACCCGTGTGTTTCAGCGCCACAGTTGCACAACTTTACAGAACTTTGCAAAGTTTAGCGACGGAGACGGAAAAACTGTAAAAAAAAAAAAAAAAAATTGGTTTAGCATTTTAGTTTTACACTTTTAACTTGTATTAATTAATGAAGTGCTTGTATTCATGATTATTCTCCCTTCCCTTCCCTCCCCAGGACTATGACTTGTGCATCACCTGCTACAACACTAAAGGTCATGAGCACAAGATGGATAAGCTGGGGCTTGGGCTAGACGACGACAGCAACAACCAGTCAGCAGCAGCTACCCAGAGCCCTGGAGACTCCCGTCGCCTCAGCATCCAGCGCTGCATCCAGTCACTGGTCCACGCGTGCCAATGCCGCAACGCCAACTGCTCCCTGCCATCCTGCCAGAAGATGAAGCGCGTCGTTCAGCACACAAAAGGCTGCAAGCGCAAGACGAATGGCGGCTGCCCCATCTGCAAGCAGCTCATCGCTCTGTGTTGCTACCATGCCAAACACTGTCAGGAGAACAAATGTCCCGTCCCGTTCTGTCTGAACATCAAGCAAAAGCTGCGGCAGCAGCAGCTGCAGCACCGACTCCAGCAGGCCCAGATGTTGAGGAGAAGAATGGCCAGCATGCAGAGGGTGGGGCAGCCGGCTGGAGGGCCACCGGGAGGACCTGTGGTAGGACTTCCATCACCAGGGAACAACGGTACCACAGCACCCAGTACCCCAACGTCTGGGGGAACCCAACCCCCAACCCCTCAGACCCCAACTCAGACCATGCCTCCAGTCCAGCAGCAAGGAATGGGCCCAGGACCTGGAGTCCAGCAGCAGCAACAGCAGCCAGGTGGGATGCCCTCACAAGGTGGCATGCCTCCTCAGCACACCCTCCACCACCAGTTTCAGCAGATTGCAGGTGGAGGTGGTGGGGCTGGAGGGATGATGAGTTCTCCCCAACATCAGCAGCAGATGCTTGTACAGGTCCAGCAGCAGCAGCAGCAGCAGCAGCAGCAGGGTGGAGCAGGGACCAACCCTCAACAGCTCCAACAGCACCCCAACAATTTGCCTCCATATGCCAGCAGACCCCCGGGCTCCTCCCCAATCCACCAGTCCCAGGGCAAACCAGTCCTTGGGTCTGCAACACCCCCCCAGCAACAGCCTGGTGCTACTGTCATGGCTGCAAGCGTTGGGGGCCAGCAGCCTCCGAGCCAGTCGCAGGTCCAGCCTCAACTTCCACCGCAGCAACAGCAGCCTCCCTCTGGCCCCCCACCGGCAGCCGTAGAAATTGCTATGAAGATCCAACAAGTGGCAGATGCTCAGAGGAAGATGGCTCTGCAAAGACAGGCAGCTGCAGGCTTGATGCCTCCCCACCCCCACCATCAACAGGGTCAAGGTCAACAGATGAGCATGGGACACCCGGGGGCAGTAGGAATGGTTGGACCCCAGGGCATGGCACCACAGACGGCAGCGGTGGCAGCCGCTCGGGCCCACATGGATCAACAACAAGGCGCTCCACCAGGGATGATGGTTGGCGCTGGTGGGCCCATGCAGCAACCCCCTCCGCAGGGTAGTCTGCCCCAGGGCCAGCTCCCCCCTCAGGTGCAGCTTCAACAGCAGAGGATGGGTGCACCACTTCAAAACCCTCAACAGCAACAACAGCAGTGGGCAAGCCAGGGGATCCCTCCCCAGCAGAGACAAGCGATGATGAACCAAATGGGCCATCCAGCCATGATGACCGCTCAGCAGCAGCAAATGCAACAACAACAACAACAACAGCAGCAACAGCAGCAGCAGCACCAACAAGCTCAGGGCCACGCTGCCTTGATAAACATGGCGCAACAGCAAGGTGCTGGGGGCGGGGTACCAGGAGGGGCTGTCCCCGTGGGCACCGGTGTCCCAGGGGCAGGTGCCGCTGGTGGGAACATCCCCCAGGCAGCTCTTCAGGACCTGTTACGGACTCTTCGCTCGCCCAGCTCACCGCTCCAGCAGCAGCAGGTCCTCAACATCCTGCGGTCCAATCCACAGCTCATGGCTGCTTTCATTAAGCAGAGGGCCTCAAAATACAAGGGGGTGCAGGGAGGGCCTGGTGGACCAGGTGGTGTGCCGGGAGGTCCCGGTCCCACAGGGGGTCCTGTTGGTAATGTCATGGCAGGAGGGGGCCCGCAGGTGAACATGAATGCTGCAGGTGCTGGCCAGCCAGGGATGCACATGGGGGGTCAGGGAGGGACAAATGTCAACATGGCCACTATGGCCCAGCTGCAGCAGGTGCAGCAGCAGCAGCTTCAGCAGCAGCAGCAGCAGCTTCAGCAGCAGCAGCAGCAGCAGAGGCCGATGCTCAGCGGGTTACAGCAGCAGCAGGTGGCAGCTCTCCAGCAGCAGCAGCAACAGCAGCAGCAGCAGCAAGGGGGAGGAAGGGGGATGCAGGGCCAGGGGCCACAGATGGGAAATCTCAATACCACCCAGTTTAGGGAGATGCTCATGAGACGGCATCTCCAGCAGCAGCAGCAACAGCAGCAGCAGCAGCAACAACAACAACAACAGCAGCAGCAGCAGCAAATGGGAGTAAATCACGGTCAGTTCCAGCAGCCACAGCCCCCACAGGGGCAGAGCTACATGGGACAGCCTGGGATGCAGCCTCCTACAGTGGGACAGGGCCCAGCTGGGGGGCCCCCTCTTGGCCCCCAGCAGCCTGGTGGTCCCCAAGGCCAACAGGGGCAAGGTTACCCGGGGTCAGTGACCCAGCAGCAGGCCACAGCTGCACTCCAGCACAGGCTCCAGCACCAGCACCACCTCCAGATGCAGCAGCAGCAGAATGCCATGGCTGGCCTGCCGGGGGGTGATGCAGGGCCAGGTGGAGGGGGTCCTCCGCAGCCACCTCAAGGCCCTCAGCCCACTCAGAGTGGCCCCCCACCTTCGTCTTCTCAGGCCCTGCTCCAACAGGCCATCCACCAAAGGTTGCTCCAGCAGCAGCATCTGGGCCCTGGGGGGTCACCAGCCCAGCACAGCAATCCCATGAGTCCTCAGCAGCCGCAGCAGATGGCCCAGTCCCCACACCCCCACCTTCAGGGCCAGGCGCTGCCCACATCGCTGGCTAACCAGGTGCGATCACCACAGCCGTCTCCCAGACCCCAGTCACAGCCGCCGCACTCCAGCCCGTCCCCGCGCATGCAGCCTCAGCCCTCCCCGCATCACATCTCCCCCCAGATGCAAACGGGTTCCCCGCACCCGGGCCATCTGAACCAGCACCACCCAGGTATGGTGGTCCCTCCACAACAACAGCAACAACCACCAACGCAACAGCAGCAACAGAACTCTATGGAGCAGTTCGGGTCGGACCAGAGCGCTATGTTATCTCAGCTGAGCGGCATGGCCGGGCTCCACGGGCCGGGGGGCAGCGGTCAGGACCCATTGGGCCAGAATCTGAATCACAACCCTTTAGACATCATGTAGGAATTCTACCTAACGTGTCAAGTTGAGCTGGAGCGCTCGGTGGTTCTTCGCACAAACTGCACTCACCCAGGACAGTGTTATTGTTATTACTTAGCCTTTCTTTTTTTATACTATTATTAAATGTTATTTAAAATGTTTTCAATAAAGACGCATTGAACTGAACTTCCTATGGGAGATGAACAATAAATCAAGCAGTCGTTAAATAAATTAGAATAAATGAATTGTAAGTTATTGCTGTTAATATATTTTTTTGCCAATCGTGGACAAAGAGGGGGCGGGGGGGTTTCTCTAGCTCCTCACCTCCACCTCTTGCAGAATAGAAGAAAGGCGATATTTTCGGGGGTTCGGGGGTCTATAGGAGTAATTGCCTTTTTTAAGAAATGTTTTTAAGGTTTTGAACATGGTCAAGAATTAAAGAGGAAATGATTTAATGCAAAGAACTTTTTTATCAGTTTTGTTTCCCATCATTCAGTCTGTCTATTTCTGTTTTGCAGAGTGATGTGGATTATTATTATTATTAATGTAAATCCAAACATGATGCATATCCTCCTTTTTAAATGTTTGGGTTTGCTTTATTTATTGTTTTCTCTTCAGGGGGTGGGGCGGGCGGGGGGGTGTTATGTACCCTGAGACTGCTACAATTCGTATAGAAATATATTTTTGTTATTGACTGTTGAAGGGGGGGTTATTAGTGGATATTTCATTTCGCTGTAGATGTCTTTAGTTGGGTCTGTCTGGGTGGGAATAATGAACTGTCAGTGTTTTATTGCAGTGGCTGAGGGTCTGCTGTGAGTTTGAGATGTCGAACGGACATGTTGTGACGCCTCGGCCAGCGTCTACGTCGGACGTCGGCCATGCTGGAAGGGACTCCTCCCTCGCGAACATGCAAGCCCTCTCCCTCGAATGTGTGTGCACTCCTTCCTTTAAAGACACTTAACATGGAGCAGTGGAGGCTTGGGGAGGGGGGGTGCATACCTGTGTGCCTGTAACATTTTGAGTACATGGGCTGGGATGTGAAAAAAATGGGTGGGGTGGGCTCCTTTTAGTGTTTTTAGGATTCTACTGTTTGGAGTAAACAGAGGATTTTGATCCAAATGAACTGTGTTGCACAGAAATGAGGAGAAAGGAGGAGCAGTCAGTCTCCGTCTCTTTCTTCCTCGTCCCCTTTGCTGCTTCCCTTGGACTTTAAATCCCCCCTCCTCCTCCTCCTCCTTTGGGGGAAGTTGATCTCCCTCCCCACCAACTCCATCTTTATCTTTCTGCTAAGAACTTTGGGAGTTTAATTTAATATTTTTTACTGTACAAAGGAAACACAAACTGTGGACTCAAATACTGTTTTTTATAATAAAATGAAAATTACCAATAGTGACGTGTCCTGCATGTGGCTGTTTGTTAGAAATATGAGTCTAACTTTGGGCCGAGTTGGCTCACTAGATCATCGTGGTAACCTACACCACACGGCTGACCTGCTCCAGGGTAGGTTAACTTCAGAGGATCGGAGTGAAACCTGTCAGCAACCCAACTACTGACCGATCAGATCACTGCAAAGATTTAGTCATCGCTGCAGGATCCTGACAGGGTCAAAGATATTGAGTTTAATGAGAAGAAATAATAAGCAAAGACTTCATACCAGGTTAGGTCAGCAGAATAAATTTTCTGTTCAAAGTTTGCATGTTCTCCCTGTACCTGCATGGGTTCTGTCTGGGTACTCTGGCTTCCTCCAGCAATCCAAAGACATGCACATTAGGTTAATTGGCGGCTCTAATGCCTTACTACTGTATAGTATGACTTTTTAATGCCTTATTAAACTGACTTTTTATGCCTTATTTTAATGACTTTTATACCTTATTATACTATGACTTTTTATGCCTTACTATACTGTTACATTTTTATGTCTTACTATACTATGATTTTTTTATGTCTAAATATACTATGCCTTTTTTTTTACCTTACTATACTATGACATTTTTATGGCTTTTTATCCCTATGACTTTTTTTTTGTCTTACGTTAATGACATTTTATGCCTTACTTTAATATGACGTTTTTTTGCCATAAATATACTATGACGTTTTTTTGCCTTACTATACTATGACATTTTTATGACTTTTTATCTCTTACTATACTATGACTTTTTTTGTCTTACTATACTATGAACTTTGTCTCGGGGCGACACAGTGGTGCAGCAGTTAACTGTCGTCTCACACTGAAAAGGCTGGAATCCACGGCCTGGGGCCTTTCTGTGTGGAGTTTGCATGTTCTCCCTGTGCCTACATGGGTTCTCTCCAGATACTCTGGCTTTCTCACCCAATTCAAAGACTAGATAGATAGATACTTTATTTATCCCCTAGGGGAAATTCATGTGTCCAGTAGCTCAATGGTAATAATAATAATAACAGTTCATAATAAATAATAAACAATAATAATTATATTAGTCCACTTCCTTTGGCTGAGTTGTTTTACAACCTGATGGCAGTGGGAACAAAGGATTTCCTGAACCTCTCTGTTCTGTAGCACAGTGAGATGAGACGCCTGCTGCTGTAGATGCTTCTCTGTCCTGCCAGAATGTTGTGGAGAGTGTGGTTGGTATTGTCTAAGATGGTCTCCATCTTACATTGCATGGGTCTCTCAACAACAGTGAGTGAGTCCAGACTGCCGGCATGGACCCAGTTTTTCTGACAGGCTTGTCCAATCCGCTTGTGTTCATGTCGGACATGCTGCTGCCCCAGCAGACTGCAGCATAATAATAATAATAATAATAAGAATAATAAGAATAATAAGAATAATTTTATTCATAGGACACTTTTCCAGCAAAAGCACCAAGTGCTTTCCAAAGGTGAAGAAAATTCAAAAACCCAATCCACATTAAAAACAATTTCAAATGATACATACATAAAAAGGTGCATATGCATACAAACATACATACACAAACACATACAAGTGAACATTCACGCTCCATGTAAAAAATTAAAAGATAAAAACACTCAAAGAAGAAAATGGTCATAGAAGCGCATCTGTTGTTTGTAAAACCCATTCTATAGTTTTTAGACAGGATTTAAAGGCAGCAACAGAGTCAGCTAACTTGATCCTCAGTGGAAGGCTGTTGCAGAACCGTGGAGCCAGGACTGCAAGGGATCGATCACCCTTTGTTTTTAACCTGGACTCTGGAGTAGCGAGAAAGTCAAGAAAAAGTAATAGTATAGTAAGGCAAAAAAGTCATAGTATATTAAGACAAAAACATTTAACAGATAAAAACATATCATAGCAAGGTATAAAAATGTCATCATATGGTAAGGCATAAAAAATCAAAGGTAGCAAACACACATTCAAGTCAAACAGGGAGACATTGTGGGGATGGAGCTGGACTCTCTGGTGGTGGTGTCAGACAGGAAGATGCTATCTAAGCTACTGACCATCCTGGACACCTGCCTATATATATATATACTGTATATATGAAAGTGCAATTTGGAATTTTAGTGCAATTTTCATACTCATATACTTAAATATTTCTTTATATATTTCTATGTATGTATACACTTATTTTTATCTTTATCATATTTTTGTACTTCACTTCATGTACTTCTTTGCTGAAGAGGAACTGTTGTGCAAACTAATATTCCCCTTGGGATCAATAAAGTGTTCTGATTCTGATTTTGAGTCTGACTTTCTATGACTTTTTTTATGATTTTTAATGCCATACTATACTATTACTTTTTTATGACTTTTTATGCCTTAATATACTATGACGTTTTTATGAATTTTTACGCCTTACTATACTATGAAGTTTTATGCCTTACTATATTATGACGTTTTAAATGTCTCTTTATGCTTTACTATACTATGACATTTTTTGTCGTTTTTATGCCTTAATATACTATGACTTTTTTACAACTTTTTATGCCTTAATATACTATGACTTTTTTACAACTTTTTATGCCTTACTATACTATGACTTTTTATGCCTTAGTATACTATGACTTTTTTACAACTTTTTATGCCTTAGTATACTATGACTTTTTTACGACTTTTTATGCCTTAGTATACTATGACTTTTTCACGACTTTTGATGCCTTAATATACTATGACTTTTTTGACAACTTTTTATGCCTTACTATACTATGACTTTTTATGCTTTAATATACTATGACTTTTTTACAACTTTTCATGCCTTACTATACTATGACTTTTTTACGACTTTTTATGCCTTACTATACTATGACTTTTTTACAACTTTTTATGCCTTACTATATTATGACTTTTTATGCCTTACTATACTATGACTTTTTATGCCTTACTATACTATGACTTTTT